GAGAACAACATCCGGGGATTTGATGCGTTCTCGATCTGGCGTTCTTGAGAATTGGAACGGTACTCGGGCTGAGGCTGATGACGTGTCACAAGTACACGAGCACACAAGAACACTCAAGAACGAATATTGAGAAACACCCTTTGATTGTTGTTTATAGTTGTTCTTCTTCTTCTGTTTTGTGTTGGTTGGCAAGAAACTTCTGGAGGGGCATTACTGCCAACTATTGGAATGAAGTGTGAATCGCGATGTGCAGCCAGACGGAGATGACGTGTTCTGCTCATGCCCTCTTGTTATCAGGGAACCGAGCCAGGGAAAAACCGAGCCGAGCCCACCTCTGGAACTGGTCTGCAGTTAGCTCGGTTCGGTTGTGTCTAGCTCGGTTCAGTTCAGTTTGTTTTTCATTTACACACGATAAGTTATCTCAGTTACTGAGCTCGGACCGGTCTTGGCACTGTTTTTCAAGGGTAGTGTAAATGGGGTATCTGTTTCCTGCCGAGGTCTGAGCGCCAAAGACTAAGTAATTCTATCAATAAATTTCTTCTAATTATTTTTTCTCATTGTGTGGGTTTTTCAGATTGAACTACATTAGACTGCCTTATGGTCAGGCTTGATTTGGTTGTCAGAACTTCTTGATGGATCCTTTTCTGAGTTAGCAATCTCATATTCGCTGTTAACATTTGAGCGTATGTGATATGGTGGTCCGGTGCTTTACCCAAAATAGCAGGAAGTGTGTTAGAGTGCATTGCATCAGCTAAAGAGAGTTTCATTAACAATCAGGTAGACCGACCATAGGCCGTCACTATATAGCAGCTTTTATATCAATTACACTCGTTAAACATCTTTAAACCACCAAAGAAATAAAAGGGGAACTAAATGCTTTCTTTGAAGATCCACCTTTGTTTCCATGGTGAAAAATCTAATTTTGTCTTAATTCCCATTCATCTTATAAAATTACTATTTATATCTTCCAGGGAAGTTTAACATGCAACTACAAACATAAATAAAACATCTAACTAGGCAATAAAAATCGTGATGCCAGTTTGAGCTAATCTGGAAAATAAAGCCTGTAAAGTTGCCATAGCTGCAATTTTTCATGTTCCTCAGTTCTTTTGACACACAGCTGGAGGAGAAAGCCCCCTTCATAGACGCATCTAAAAAACGCTAGTTGTTGTTTTTGCTCTCGCCGTTTTTCCTCTCCCATCACCGCTCCACTGACAGAGGTGCTCTTTGCGCCGCGTGTCCTTCCCCCCATGGAATCACTCAGAAAGGTCACCCTGATCCCCAGGGAGTCCCAGAGAACTGTCGTTTTTATTTAACATTATATAAGCTGCTAATTTTCTAACTTGAAAAAAGAACTTGTTTTTTTGCGTGTGTTGAAAAATTAAGCTGAGTGACAGATGTTCTTAACCTTCCATTAAAATATCTCTATAATAACACTAATCAGTTGCTGTTCTTAATCTCACACAGTCCGGTTTCATGAATTACAGATTTGTGTTTAATAGTTAGTTCAAATAACCATTAGCAGTTTTTTTATATTTTTGTAGGCAAATTCCTCCACCATCAGTTCCTAACTAGACAGGAAACATGGCTGAGAACCCCTGCAGATGATGGC